TTCTATATATATATAATATATAATATATATAATATATATATATTATATATATATATCCTTCTCTCCTTCTCTTCTTCTCTCTTATCCCTTCTATCATCTTCTCATCTTCTCATCTTTCATCTTCTCTCCTTCTCTCTTTTACTCTTTTTCTCTCTTCTCTCTCTTCCTTTCATTGGTTTTCCCTCCCCCTCCCATCCTCTCCTTGTACCACTTTTCACTCTCCTTTCTTTTCTTCCCTGCCTTATCTCCTATTTTCGCAATTTATCCATTTACTTCTCAGTTTTCCTAATACGCTCTCTCTCTCGCTCCCTCTGTCTGTCTGTCTGCCTTTTTTCTCTCTCTTTCTTTCTCCCTCTCCCCCCCTCACTCACTCTCTCTCTCTCTCTCTCTCTCTCTCTCTCCTCTCCTCTCTCTCCTCTCTCTCCTCTCTCTCTTCTCTCTCTCTTCTCTCCTATATATATATATATATATATATATAATATATATATATATTATATATATATATCCTTCTCTCCTTCTCTTCTTCTCTTCTTATCATCTTATCATCTTTTCTCATCTTCTCATCTTCTCATTCTTCTCTCCTTCTCTCTTTTACCCTTTTTCTCTCTTCCTCTCCCATCTTCCTTTCATGTTTTTCCCTCCCCTCCCCATCCTCTCCTTTGCTACCACTTTTTCACTCTCCTTTCTTTTTCTCCTGCCTTATCTCCTATTTCGCAATTTTATCCATTTACTTTTCAGTTTTCCTATTACGCTCTCTCTCTCGCTCCCTCTGTTCTGTCTGTCTGCCTGTTTTCTCTCTCTTTCTTTCTCCCTCTCCCCCCTCACTCACTCTCTCTCTCTCTCTCTCTCTCTCTCTCTCTCTCCTCTCTCTCTCTCTCTATCTCTCTCTCTCTCTCTCTCTTCTCTATATATATATATATATATATTATATATATATATATATATATATATATATATTATATATATTATGTCTCCTTCTCTTCCTTCTCTTCTTCTCTTCTTATCATCTTATCATTCTTCTCATTCTTTCTCATCTTCTCATCTTCTCTCCTTCTCTCTTTTACTCTTTTTTCTCTCTTCCTCTCCCTCTTCCTTTCATGTTTTTCCCTCCCCCTCCCCATCTCTCCTTGTACCACTTTTTTCACTCCTCCTTTCTTTTCTTCCCCTGCCTTATCTCCTTTTCGCAATTTATCCATTTACTTCTCAGTTTTCCTATACGCTCTCTCTCTCGCTCCCTCGTCTGTCTGTCTGTCTGTTTTTCTCTCTCTTTCTTTCTCCCTCGTCCCCCCC